TGTTTCTCGGCCTCACACTCGTAGGCACTCAGCAAAAAAACCGACAGAGAGGCGTATGAACATCTTGACTTCGGAGCCTGTTACTTTATGTAATCACAACTTAGTTCTCTTATGGTCATTGGCTTTATGTGCTCATACCCTAAATTTTTTACGCAGATTTAGTGGTAACAATTCCCATACAACACAAGTTATCTTAAAACACCTGTTTTATGGTTGTCGTCGCATGAGGATTGCGAATCTAGCTCTGAAAAGTTCTCGTCAAATAGGGAACAAATGCAACTCAGCTTGTGCGAACTCAGCCAGGAAATACAGAAACCTTGGTTCTGTATGTTGAAGTCGATTTGGAGGTTCAGTGTGTCGCAGAGGCTTGTGACCAATTTCTCGCTGCTTCAGTGAGAGTTGAAAGGTTCATGAGGAGACGTATGTTTACTCTTCACAAGAGTGGTCAATAATTATGGTTTGGAGGGAAAACGGCCTCTCAAAAGTGTTTTTTCAAAACTGCTACAGCTGGCCCGGGGTGTGCTCGCAACACCGTGGACTCTTGATAGCCGATGGCCTGGTGTTTTGACCAACGAACACTCGAGATGCCATCTAGACCTCTCATCAACCTGGCTCTACTACAGAAAAACCTACACCACCTCACAGCATTGGGAACCCTTTCATGGAGTTGGTCCCACGTCAAGTCGGGCGGCGATGCGTAGAGTTGTCAAAAAAGTGCACTTCCGAAAAAGAAAAATTGAAGTTAGAAAGCTGCCCAGCTGTCAGGTCCCAACGGCAGCCATAGTCAGCGTAGGCATCCGTATGTCAGTTTTCACAACCGTAGTTGCAGAAGTCTGTCATCTCGTCGACGCAGCCACAGAAGTAAGCGTTCTTTCTGTCAAACCAAACAAGCATCATCACGATTCGCTCCTTGCTGTGTGAGTGACTGACTGGGAACCTGTCATGACTTATAAAGAGGTACTTCTATTGTAACTCCTATTTACGCGAACCAGTTACCCGTATCTTCCTTCTAGTCCTTTCAACGCACTCCATCAGCCCCTCTTGTCAAGCCGTACTGAGCAGACATTTGGAGTTGAAAAAACTGACGCCTTCCTTGCTAGCAATGTAAGGCATCTCACCAAAATCACAGGGTAACCTATTTCATGCAAAGCACGCTGTCCGGCCCTGTACAAGCTAGATGTGGTGAAGAACTAAATTGTCTACGTGCATGAGGTTGGCATTACCCATTCATCAAATTACCCACTGGTATCACTACATCCTATCCTACTGAAAAGCGGTGGCAGTGGTGTGCATCCTACTGGTGATTAATTATGACTTTGTGCCCAAACAACCTCTGAATGCTACTCGATATTGCGCTTATACCACCTAACCACCACTTTGCTCAAAATGAACATATCTTCTACTGTCAACTTACCTGAAAGCGGATAATCAGGCGGCTGTGGCAGCAAAAGATATGTAGATACAAAACTGTATTACGCCTTTCAAAGTGTCTGAATTTCTGCACACACCGCTCGGTCCTTGAAATGCAGTAAAAAATTTCAAACGCTTTAGGACTAATAGCTTATGTGGCAGAGATTTTGTCCATGTTCACGTCAGTGAATGCCTTACAGTGAGTACAGGTAAGGGGACTATTCTCAAGTACCTTAACCTCGCATCCAACATGTGGAAGAAGTATGGTATCACGGTTAGCATCCAGGAACGTCAAATGAGAGTTAAGTCACTGAGCATGTTGTTGACAAAAAAAGAGATGTGCCCACTCTGGAACAGGGTGGTGGCTATTCCGAAATTCCAAGATTGAACCACTGTGCAGCGGTTTTGTAATTTCGGAGGCTTAACAAGACGCTGAAATATGCTTTTTCCAACCGCAATTCCCCTGCAAGACCGCTCACAGATCTGCTTCGCGAGATCGCAAGGCGTGTTATTCCGGACGTTGGGGTGAAGTTCGCCCATTCCTCGACCAAGGAAGCCATCTCAAGTGCACTCATGTTCAGGAACCATAATCCAATTTCCTCTTTGAGTAATACTGTCGACTCATCCATCTTGGCAGTTAGGGCTCTTCCCCAGTAAGTTATCGAAAAGTAGTATCGGCCGACAGCTTTTTTCAAACCACGGAGCACCAAACTTCCCTCTTGGATCATCGTCCAATGGAGGAATTGCTGAATCCATGAATATTACTTAAGTTGTAACTTTCAAATGATTGGAAGCAGCCCTTTCCTATCTTGTAGTGACAAGATGATTATGATTTACTCCGCACAATATTGTGTGACAGTGGTGGCAGTTTGGTGAGGGTGTCCCCTAGTCCTAATAAGTTGCCTGTATCTGGCTCAGCAGGATCCAGAGACTCTTTAGTGTCAAGGCCCTGAGATGGCTTCCTTCCTAGCGAACGTTTGTTTTTATTGCTGGATTTCGCCAGTAAAATCAGCTTTGGGGAAATGAATGCAACCTTCAGGGAATATCCTCTAAATTGCTACCGCAGAGCCTCTTTGAATAGTCCTCAAAATCCTCAGTTGGCTCTTCCTCGTACATTAATCTAGATTCACTGGTCGGAGTTCATAAGGATTGGTTATTTCAGAGTACTTTTGTCCAAGCAGATCAACACTCACTGGGATGAAGAGGCCCCACAAAGCTTTTCATCAAATCACTCTCTTCTTAGTCTGCCTAGCTATCCAAGGGGGACAGTTGATAGATACACACAGGACCGAACAAGGTATGTCAGTATGCTCAAAAGATTCATACCTGTTTTTGTGTCCACTCCGAGCTTCGGCGGCAGACCACGCCACATTTATTGGCTGGTCTATCCGCCAAGCCTGTTGCGTAATAGCCATTATGTATACTGTTCGGGTATTCGGACCAGATAAAAAAACCTCGGATCACATCACAGACTCTCAGCCCTAGACAAAGCACAGTGTAATCACAGATCGTAAAACTGTGTAAGTCATACTGCTACGTGATAAAATACACATGTGTGTAGTGCATATCTTCTTGACATCATAAAATCTCAGTGCGTGAATGTGTGGTTAGTTTTTATCGCACAGAGTGTTTTGGAACTTATGCTGATGTCTTGACACTTCAGGTTTGCTGAACCTTTCGGCAGCTAATCACAAGTAGGCATTCAAAACATGTTCTGCCTCTTGGGATAAGAACGGGCAACTTGGTGCCCCTCGGGCTGAATTTGTGTGGTGCAAAAGGACTTTCGTAGTATGGAAAGCATAAACGAAACCAGAAGTTCCTGTGCGTATGCTGATGTTTGTTGCAACGCACAAACACCAGTATGTCCTCACACACCGAGGCCACCAAACGGTAACAGTTGGTGAAAGATATTTCTGAAAATCGTATAAAAGTGGTAAACAGTATTGCGACTGCAGGCTCAGTTGAAATATAATGATCGGTTTAGGAAAAGCTGAGCCTCTGGCCTCGTTTTCTGGGTCGCTGCTTGGCACTTGCGACACCAAGTTTGTTCTGGCATGAAGGGATGGTGATCAGGTCGTAGGAAACCAATACCTATGTCACATCAGAAAAGAGTGCCAGAGAAACTATTCACACTTCTTCCAAGTGAGCCCCGTGGCTGTGACAACCTGGAACCAATGAAGCCAGTTTGTGGACTCTTCCAGTACTCACAAGAATAAAACAGACTTCTCAAAGAGTGGTGTTGTGTCGTTTTATCACCTAAGTCACTAGCTCTAATTGTAAGCGAATAGCTGTTTGGGCGATTGCTTCCTAAGCAGTCAGCTGGAAGCTGCCATTCCAAAGATACTTCTAACAGCCTATAGTTGCTGGGTACGCTATGGCTACATCTGAAAATTGTCACTGTGGTAAGACCAGAGAGACCCAAGCCTTCTTCAGAAGGTATGAGGATCCCGGATGATAACAGACTTTGAAACAAGAGAAAAAATAATCTGACAGAGTGAGACCCTGTGATCTACTTACTCTTTTCCATCAGAATAAGGCGGGAGATTTTAGTGCGGCCTGCAGGATCACTGATCTAGCGAGCCATACGAATAAACCAACGCCATCTGCGACATGGACGTCATCACTTAGGGAACCCAACAGAGTGCTGTATCAGGGAGCTAAAAGCGGGCACAAATAAAACTTTTTCCTTCAGGAGAATATGTTTTATGAGATGATTGGCCGCTCGACAGACCTAATCAAAAATGGTTAGACGACATATCAGTTTGTATGGCTTAGCAGTGACGTAATCTTGACACTTATGATCTTTTAGGAATTGTTCCGGTGTGAGCTCAACAGACGCTGAGGCCAACCACTAATTATTCGAATTTTTTATTTACCCACGAATATGAGACCAGGAAAGAACACAATAGCGTAGTCAGAAGGAATAGTATATTTGCTAGGTAGTGCCAATATACCTATGCGTTCCAAATGAATGGCTGGAAGGGCGATTATGAGCATTGCGGCGTAACACGTTGACGTTTCAGATGGCGAGGATGCTTGATCGGGTGCCTTCAGCTTTACGAGTCTGGTAAAACTATCAGGGTCAGGATCAATGTTGAATCTCCCCGAACCCCGGGCTATTGATACTGGAGAAGTATGTGATGCTACAATCTTATCGGCTCACTATTATCCCCCTCTTGTCTGCTACCTACGACTCTATTTTGAGTAAAACTTCCTTATCCTCAACTTCATCTTTGGTAACGCTGCTTAGGCTGCCTTTTTTCATTTTCCGGGAGCGTCCCATGCAGCATTTCCGACTATGCTATTATACCCGTTTTGGCGTGCATACAGACAGGGGTCATTCCCGACACCAACCCAGTCAACAAATTGCAAATAAAAACAGACAGACTAAAAATTCTTCACTGTAAACAAAAGTGTGCCACATAATAAGGCAAATATATTGTTATTAATAGAATATTTCACTAGAGATAACAGGAGGTTTCCTTGTCCCTTTACAGAATAGGAACCAGACGTGAGGAAACAAGCCCCAAGAAACCGATGCAAAGCACAAAAAGCCATCAGGTTCCTTCACTTGCATCACTGATTTTGAATGTTGGAAGCATTGGACAGCGGTGTTCGAGACCATCAAAAAGCTTGAAATGTGCGCTACAACCCCCGATAACCCATCAATGTATGATTCTATTTGTATTCACCTTTATATACATTTTAAAAACTAGTTTACTCATATTATAACTGTTGCCAGACAGATTCGATGAATTACGGTTGGAACCCATCGTGAACAGTGTTCTTGTGAAAGAGTGAATGTCTCTCAATCTGGGGGATATTTTAGGTGCTCTTTATGCTTTTGGGTTACATTCTACAAAATGTTCCAGACTAATTTAAGTACGTACATCTAAGTCTTCGAAAATTCTGAAAGTCCAACTCGAAACCCACAAAATTGTCAGTGCACCCAAAGTCGTTTGTGTCAATTGACTGAGTTGTTTTCGTTCTTCGATTTCCCATTTTTTTAAAAATCTGTTTTAGTGTCGCAGGCTATTTAGTTTGCGACTTCGCATCAGTTGAGTGAAATCATTTGTAAATTCACTGTTATTTCAGAGTTTATTTGCATTCTTTTAAATATAAACACATTGCAGATTGCACTGAAAACTCGGGGCGAAACGCTTGAGTTTGCAACATTCCTTCGGGTTTTCCCGTTACGGCGTTCTTTTCTCCATTTCCTTCCGGAGTGCCCGGAGTTCTTACGCATGTGTCCTGTGTTTCCTGAGAAATGCCCCTCGTTTCCTCCTAATTACCCCACGTTTTGCCCTCCGTTCTGAAAATGTCCTCGAATTTTCCCGCAAAAATGGTGACTGGAGATCTTAAGATTTGGAGTGTGCCCTAAAGTTATGAGGTGCTCTAAAGATACATTCTTCGGTAAGTATGTGAAAAACTCAAAATGCGCCCCAAGTGTTTTCTGGGGTGGCCAAGGCTGGATGATGTGTATCGATGTACTGCAATTCTTCTCTAAGTTTTGTTGGCAGCCTAACAACTTAAAGTTTCTGTTAGTCATCTAAAACTGAAATGTTTACGTAGTGAGGGGATAACTTGCTCAAATCCTTGTCCTGTTTATAAGAGGATATACATCCTAATTCGTTGTAACAATTTATTAAGAGCAAACTGCAGCTCGTTGCACATTATGAACCAATTGACAGGCCTCAAGTAGATTTCTCATAGGCTCTGCTGCCACAGAAATCTCCCTCAGGTTACCTGCAGAAACAAATTCTACTTTTTAAGCAACTGGGAAGTGTTAACCATCCACTCCCTTTCAGTAGCATACAAGATTCGCTTGAACATAACCTATTCTTCTTACCGCTCTCTATTCCTTTGCCTTTGCCTTCTGATACTAATACTAACTTATAACTCCCTCACTCTACGATCATTGCCAATGATCCGAACCACCGAAACTACATTCCTAGTCTCCTAAGACCCTGCCGTCGATTTCATGTTAGAGCTTTCAACGTCCAAACTGTATAGTGAATTGGACAGCAAACCTCGCTTACCAGAACTTCGAACTTTTAAGCCATGTATGTATGGTGTGTTTCTAAGATCCGAGTGGTTATTCATCTAATCTCACGTGGTCATTGTGGTGAACCTTCGAAATTCACTTCAAGTGTGTCCGGAATTTCAATGGCTAGGTTTCGTGAACTTAATTATGTAGGTATAACATTAATTTGACCAACAGAAAGCTCACCTCTCGACTCGATACCAGTCAACAGCCATCTGTGTGGTGTTCCACTGAATGGATAGCGAGACTTACCGATGCCTTTATGGAATCTATCTATGCACCCGCCAACTACAGTTCTGATGATGAAGTGAGTAAGTTCTATCAAAAGCTATCAGTTTCGCTATATACAGCAAAATGTTCAGAGAGTTATAGTAGCAAACGACTTTAACTCCAAGGTTGGGAATCTTTGTCAGTCAGAAAGGCTTATTGGAGAAATCTACTTGATCGTATGTCAACGACAACGGTGATCGTATTTTGTAGTTCTGACAATCATTTGTTTCTTCCCAACAGTAACTTCATGCGTAAGGAACCACTGTTTCACATGGCATCCACCAATGTCAAACCAACGATGAACATGGACAGATATTGTTACTATCAACCAACGTTAGAAGGGATCGGTGAACGACTGCCGCTCTCTCTGGAAATACTTATTTAGATTAAGATCACTCGTTAGTAAACACACACGTATGTCTGCACTTTGCTGGTCGCAGAAAACAGGTCATAGTGAAGTCTGTGTCTGCTTGATGATGTTAAGAAAGTCAAATATGTATTTAGGGAGGAAATAGCTAAGCACTTACCTCGACGTGACAGCAATCCTAATCCTGGAAAAAACCTACCATGACATTCAGTTCGCTGAAGTAACAGCGTTAAAGATAGTTGGCAACCTACATTCGAAGGTTAACAAACGTCATTGGATTTAAACAGCTTTATTCGAACTGATTGTTGCAACAAGACCCATTTCAACCTGCTTTGACCGCAATAAAGAGCAAAAGTAACTTAAACGTAAACTGACCAAGAGTCTTCGCAACGATCTTGAGCAGTGACAGGTGGCGCAAGAGATTTCAAAGGCATCAGTACTAGGTAATATTTGGCACTTATACATCCTCGTTAATGATAACGGTTAGAAGATGATGGTTAGTGAGCTATCACCGATCAGGATGGAACGCTGATAGCCTCAGGACAGATTAATAGAACGTTGAGCGTATGGGTTGTCGATGCCTGTCCTCCTCTTCTCGAAGTCGAGATGGTTATTTCAGGCGTAAACAATGCAAAAAGTTGAGCTAGTTGGTTTTCCACCCCACATTTTTAAGACTAGAGACGGAAAGTTGCTGAGTGGAGTAACGGAAGTACTAAGTAGCGTATTGGAATCGGAGTAAGTGCCGTTAGACTAGTCTGCTTCACTGTTTATTCCCGACAGAAGTCTTGTGACAACTATAAGGAAGTTAGTTTAGCTAATAGTCTTCACTTTCTTTGAGTCTGTATTTATCCAACGCCTAACTGGAGCTGGAAAACAGCAAACTCGGGGAAATTAGGCAGGTTTCACACTGGGACGAAAATGCATCAGTCAGATTCTCACCCTTTGATAGGTTCTGGAACACAGGTATTCTTACCGGTGGCCAACATTTGTCATATTTCTTGACCTGAAGGCAAAGTTTGACTTTGTTGACCGTAGGAGGTTGTGGCAGTGTCCAGTTGTGAAGGGAGTACTGAGCGAGAATATAGTGCCTATCAAAGCTGTCTACTCGAACTCATGAGGCTATATAAGGGATTATGGAGAGTTGTCATCTTAATCGATGGCAGCCAGTGGTGTCCAGCAAGGATGCCCACTATCACTATTCCTGTTTGATTTCCTTATGGATGTACTAATGGATACGAAATTAGGTACATTTGACTTCACAGTGGTTGGTTCACTTGGAGTACGCAGACGATGTTTTCCTGCCAGGTTAAGACGCTAACGCAATGCAAGGTCTTTTGAATGCGTTGAGCGAGAATATGAATATATTTGGTATGCGTTTCACTCTTATCAGATCTAGGAGGAACCTTCCAAACTGGCCTGCAACTACTCCTAGTTTAATGATAGGGAGTGAAGTGGTGGAATGCATTGACCACTTCACTCACTTTGGACGTTGCACCAGCTCAAATGAGGTTGTTGTTTGCGAAGTCTCAGCTCGGATACAGAAGACCCGTTTGACATTTGTTAAACTGCGTCATCGGTGCCGAATAGCTATCTATTAAGACAATAGTATACCGCTCTGTCCTGTTATACTACTGTAAGACAGCCGTTGTAAGTAGAGGACATTAAATGTTTACAGGGTTTTGATAGCTGCTACTCCTGACCGGTGGCTGCTACCTTGACGTGGTGGTCGGCCTTGTATACCATAATGACCCAACAAGCTACGCTGGTGGAACACGCACTCCCTCAAGGTCCTACCATACCAGAAAGGTCTGTTGGATATTGGTTAGACGAAAAGCAGTTACCGTTGTGGCGTAAATTACTACACTATGATGGGGTCCGAGGGCGAAGTCGTACTGCTGCTAGCTGGATGGGGTGTGACAGCAGTAAGGTGTTTCCCTTGAATGACCAGTAGTGCCATGCTAATGCTGCCTTCACAGTGGCAGGGAGGGTTAGAAAAGGTCGGCCCCAAAAATAACACACTCCACCATGCCCCACGGTCTGCCGGGCCGGTGGTTTTGGTTCATTTGTTGTTTCTTTACCACCATCTGGCCCCAAAAGTAGAAAAGTTCAAAATTATCGTACACAAAAGACTGCATGTGACAGGCCTTAGGCAGATGTCCGATGGGCTCTGGAGTCTCACAAATCTCTTTCAGGTACCTTAAGAGGAAATAGCCTTCCATGGTGCGAGCAGCCGGGAAGTGTCAACCGCCCTCACAACTCTGTCAGCACTCAAGTTTCTTCTGACTGCTGTCCACCTCCTCCATCATTACCTTCTAATCTTCCTTCACGTCTCTTAATTAATGATGCTACATCTTCAATTTATCCTAGCTCTGCAGCCTTCGACAACGATCTGAGTCCACAAAACAGGATCCTTGGTCTCCTTAAACTACGCTCCAAATTACATATTGGAGCCTTCGATGTCCGCACCCTCCGTCAAGTTGGTCAAGAGGCTTCATTGGTGAAGACTAGCAGCTCGGGCCATGGATGTGTGCTGTGTTTGTGAGACACACATACAGGACCCAAGTGCGGTCATTCACCTAACTTTTCCCGGCCAATCTGGTGAATCCGCGAAATTCATTCTTCGAGTTTCTGGAGATCCGATAGCTAGCTCTCATGGTTTTGCAGGTGTAGGCATAGCATTAAGCACTAGGGCAGAAAGCTCACTACTAGACTGGATCCCAGTTGATAGTCGCCCCTGCGTTATGCGGCTGAACGGCACAGTGAGAACTAAAAGGAATAGTGAGACTCACCGTTGTCTCTTTGTACTCTCTGCTTACGCACCCATTGATTGTAGGTCGGATGAAGTAAAGGACACGTTCTGCCGTAAACTGTCTAGCCTCCTCTCGAAAGCCAAACTTTCAGACGTGGTGGTTGTTGCAGGTGACTTCACTGCACAGGTGGGTAGACTGAATGAGGCAGAAAGGCACTTAGGTGGCACTTTCGGAGTCCGTGCTGAATGTACAGATAACGGTGATCGCCTTACTACAACTATGCTCAGTAACAATAGACAGTTATTCAGACTTATTAAGGAAACTGGGGGGGGGGGGAGAGTCAACAACAGTTAGTGAGGCTGTAGCGGAGAAGGACGGACCTGCGATTCATTCGCAGGGGAGACGACTGGAACGATGGGAAGAACACTTCAAGGAGCAGTTCAGCTGGCCT